ATGAATCTTCTTTATATAATGACTCTTCCCTATTGTATAATAACATTTCTTCTTACTTTGAAATTTTATAATTTTGTAGACTAATAAAATCATTAATATATATATATTTTTTTTAACAAGTTAGATATAACTAATATATAACCTGTATTTAAAGTTTGTATATTAGACATATAATAAAAAAAGTTATTACAATATAATATTTTTTTTGTCTTTGAGAAGAAATTTATTTAACTTAAAGTTGTATCATGTTTAACTATATATACATTAAATAGACTTTGTGATCAGATAATATATATTAAATAGATTTTGTGATCAGATCTATATTTAATAAAAGGTCATATATAAAAATATTAGTATATCAGATTAGTTATATTAAGTAAAAATACAATATAAAAAATTTTTAATCATTTTCAAATTGATATAATTAACAATATTTTTAAATAAAAATAATGCAAATGATTTGTTTTTGATTAAGAAGATAGTATTTTTTGATTATAGAAATTAGTTGTACAAATTCTTGTGACTTTTTTGATTATTTGTCTAACTTTTAAAAATGTTAAATATATTCATAGATTTTTAATGTAATACAAAAGTCTAATTAATATATAATTTATATTGCATTATGTAAAAAGCATTCTAAAACTTTTCTTTTTCTTACTTTTTTTTTTACAAAAAAAATGGAAACTTATGAAACTTATAAAAATAAATCATATATAATAATGATAATTCTATTAATTTACCTTTGGTTGTGCTGCAGAATGGTACTTAACTAATATATTATTATTAAAAAATTATTGTTTAAAAAATCAAAGTAGGCAGGTTATTCCAAAATTTGTTAAAAATAGTATTTTAACTATAGAACGCACACAAGGAGCAATAGATTATTTAGAATAGACCATCACAATCAGAACTAAAAATTTTACAAATATAATAAATGATATATTAGTTCTAATTACTAAAGGAGAAGACTTAGTTTCATAAATCAATTTAGGAATAGAGAAAGATTAGCAGTGCTGATATTAGGTAATATACTGCTTTAGTGATAGGAATATTTGTCAACATTTATATGGTAGAATTGAAAAGTGTTTAGAAACTTGTGATTATTATTTGTTATATAATAATCTAAAAAATGCAATGATATGCATTTATGCAGTATTAGAGTTATTTCTGAATGTTGATTATTGTAGTTAAATTCAGAAACTCCACTATGCATTACTATTTAAGAAACTCATTATCCATCTCAAAATATGTTTAATAATATTATTCCTAAAAATTTTCAAATTAATCTAACTTATTTATTAGAGATTCAATTGCTTTAAGTAGAAGAATAGATCACAGAATAGCTAAAGAAATATAAGTTAAATTATTAACTTTATTTAATGATACATTAAAAGAAATAATTAGTAAAATATTAGTAAATCAGTATAAAATTTATGATAATAATAAACTTTGAAAACTTATTATAAGAGATGATAGAAAATTTAAAGATAATACTGAGCTATGGACACAACTTAATAATTGGTTAATAAATTATTAAAATCGCAAGGAAATATATTATATTATCAGATATCAGATTTAGATCAACCAATTAAATCATCTGACTGATATTATCAACTAACTTTTTCTGATGAATTTTGGTTTAAAAATGAATGTGATCATAGAATTATTTGCATTAGTTTTGATGAAAAATATGATTTAAATGCAGATTGTGCTTCAGTATTATCAATTGTTTTTAAAAATGGAGCTAATCATAGTTTACCTTTAGCATTTAGTAATTATATTATAAAATAATAAAATAAAATTATTTTAGTAATTTAATTTATTTATATAAAAATTTTTTTTAATAGCTTTAAGTAATAAAGAAAATAATCAAACTATAAAATTGCTAATTATCGCTATTAAAAGAAATATTTCTTGTAATAATATATTATGTCAACTTAGATAATATTATGAAAACTTAATTTCAGAAAATAGATTTCAACAAGTTTGTGAATATTAAAATAATAATTAGAAATCATATGCAATGATTGATAAACATAAAATATTAAAATTGGCAATTTAAAATATATTACACAGATCTATTTTATGTTAGTTTCACATAATGAAAGTTATGAGAAAAAAATCTTAATAATTAGTATATACCTATTCAATTCTGGTAAAACATTTATAATTCTAATTATTACATAATAATTACTAGTAATCTTATCTTATTTTTTTATTTTTACTTAGATATCCAATTGCATTAGCTTTTAAATTTGTAAGATATTGTTAAATTGAAACAGCTACTATTAAAATAATTGAATTATCTAATGAATTTATAAATTCATTACCTATTGAAAAAATAAAACAAAAAAAATTATTGATAATATGTCAAATAACTGGATGTGTTTTGAATAGAAACTAAGTTTTATTGATGCAAGATATATTTCAATCTCTAATAATTTAACAAATTATTTATCTTAAACCACTAATAATTTTATTAAATGAATAAATAGAATAATAAAAATAGTATATAGTAGTAAACAAATACTATTATCATTTATTGAACGCATGTATAGTGTAAAATTTTAAAGTAATACTATTACGAATAATAGTAGATTAAATATATTTGAATCTGATTTAATTACATTATTTAATACATAAGCTATTAAACAAAAGGTAATTATTATTATTTAAATTATTAATAACTTATTCAGTAAACTAATTTATTTAATTTATTATATATTATTTAGAATACTAAATCATGTTTATACTCAGATAAATTGCAAGATTAAACTAAGAAAAATTGGATTTTCTCCTTGATTTAATACAAGAAACATCTGTTTCAAATATTTTTTTTATTAAAAAATTATATAATGAACTATTTATATTCTTTTATAATTACAAACCCGTAAATATAAATGATCAAATTTTAAGTAAACTCAAAAATATAGCTGATCTTCTTTTAAACTCTTATTGTTAGAAAATATAGAATTTAATTTTCAATTCTATTTATGCAATATTAGTACTGGAGAATGTGTATATTAGGAGTATATTTGGAATGGTTCTTTACAAGATAAGTGCAAACATTATTATGCAGTCACTTTATTCAAAGATGCAATAGTAAAGAATTTATAAATGTTATAGATAAAATAAAGTATGAATTAGTCTAATATTTTGAAATAAAGAACATATTGTTTCTTCATCTGCCAAAAATAACATTATTTATCAAGATACAATAGAAAATTCTTTTTAAGAAATAGTTTGATTATATAGAATTTATGGTAATATATTATATTAATTTAATAATAATTAAGAATATTGAATTAAATTAACCTTTATTTTAATAAAAAAATAAAATTTTCTATACAATAAATTGTGTAATTCAAAATATTAAAGATCCATTTAGGCCACTTGAATTAAATAATAAATCAAGGTCAAAAAAAAAGCATCACTAAAATTATCTTCTAAATTAAGAAAACCTAATAGATTTAATCTATACAAAAAATTATCAAGTGATACCTTTTTGATATAGCAGAAAAAAATTAAACATACTCATAATATTAAACAAAATTATAATTCATTTGGTAAATTTTATTAATTTTATTAATATTTATTAAAATATTTTTAATTTATGATTAATAATAATAATAATAATTTATTTTAGATATAAATAATCAACAAAATAATGTGACTATTATATATAATTATGATTTTCAAAATTTTTCTTAACTTACTAATAATTTATGATAATGTTGAATCTCAGTATAATAATGTGGTGATATATGAAAATTTGTGTTTATATTATAATGAAGAATTACCTAATATTTTATTAGAAAAACTACAAATCAAATTATTATTCTTGTAAAATAACCCTATTACAAAATATGATCATTATTTATTTTGTATTATGCATCATGCTGAGTTACATATTATTCCAAATGGTTTATTAAAGGGATATTCAGAATTTATTGATTTTAATCAATTAGTTTTATGAATTCAAATATTTAAAGATGATTTTTAGAAATTATCATGAAAACTTAGCAAGTTATTATTGAGAAATAGCCTTTTCAATTTATCAAGAAATTGAATATAATAAGGCTAAATCACTAATAATACTTTTTAATAGATGTAGAATATTTCAGGTATTAATTTTAAAATTAATTTTTATATTAATTTGTTTTAAAATACTTTATTAAATCATATTAATTTATAGACTGAATATTATAGATTTAAAGAATTATATTTTTTGCTAATGCTTTGATAGATTTATTCATTACTTTAGATATTCTTATATCACTTAAAGCATTTTCATTAAAGCTGATGGATTATATATATGAAGTTTTAATACTAGAAGTGACAAGCAAATTAATTCAAGAAGATTACAATAATAATATAACTTTAGAAAATGCAAGAGAAATCATGGTTGAAAGTATAGAATTTGAAGAATATTTGCATTGTGGTAATAATATATAATGTTTTACTTTAAAATTATAAAATTTGTTAGATTAAAATACCAGTAATAGTTTATAGAGTATAGATATAATACATATTTTGTTTAATAAATTTTATGCGTAAATTAACTTATTTCGTTGTTATCAATAAATTTTATTGACTTTTTCGTATGATTACAAATCACAATTTTTTTGAATACAATTTTTTCCAAATAATCAAAGAAGTCAATTTTTTTTGAATAATCAAAAAGGTCACAATTTTTTTCTGAATAATCAAAAAAGTTACAATGATTTGTACAACTAACTTTTATAATCAAAAAATGCCATCTTCTTAATCAAAAATGAATCATTTACAAAAATAATAAAACTTCTTCATATATTTCTCCTTCTCAAATCTGAAAATATATACCATGTTATTGTTGAGCTTATAATAGAAAATTAATAGATCTTAGAACTAAATTAGCTTATATTAAAAAAAGCATTGCGTCAATTGTATCTCGAAGGAAAATTAAAGAATCGACTAATTTATCTTCACTTATTAATCTAATATCTTCTTTAAAAAATATTATGGATATTAGTGATAAAGAACCACAAGAATCACATGAAGAAAGCTATTCATTTTTAGTTAGAAGAACATCAGTTACCTTTCAGAAAAAAAGAAGTCTAAAATATTATTTCCAGAAGTAATAAGTGAACTGTTTTCTGATATTGATGGTAATAATGATGATAATGCATCTGAAGAAGACAATAAAAGAGCCTTTAAAGATAATGCTTTAAAAAACTTCTCAAATGATTCAGACGAAGGTTTTCAATTGAATTTTGATGTATCAGAAACTGAATTAGAAAAAAATAATTTTAAGTACGCTAAAAAAAACTTTGATGATGCCTTTTCATGAATTGTAATATGGATTTTGAAGTACCAGAAGAGGTTTCAACTATCTGACGTGATCACAAATTCCCTCTTAAAGTTTTTTTATTATATTCTTATAAATAACTATACAAACTGCAAAAACTATTGTAAATTATATAATATTGCTGATGTGTCTAATAAAGTCCTGAAATTGCACCTAAAATTACTAAGTGTATATTTCAAAATTTCTCTAATCATCCAATAAATAATAAATGAAATGCATGTGAAAGAATTTTATACAAATGTGTTGATATAAAGAATGGAATAATCAAAAAGCCAAGTTTGATATTTCTTACCATCAGTTTAAAACATCAGTTGAATCTTCTATTTAAATGAAAAGGCTTTGAAGAATCTTATAAAAAGTGGGTTAATCATCCTTCTGATTCAGAGATTTTTGCTGATATATATAATGGAAGAATATGGAAATCTTTTAAAGATGAGAATGATTTGATCTTATTTTAACTAAACTTAGCAAATACTCATATTGGAATAATGCTCAATATAGTATAAAAGCAATCTATACTATAATATGCAACTTGTCTCATATTGAACGATTTAAGCTATTCAATATATTATTAATATTAGTAATAATTTCAAATCCAAAGAAACTAAAACTATACTAAATAAATCATTATTTAGCCTCTTTAGTTGATCAATTAGTTGAATTATAATAGGGGATAGAATTACCAGAAACTTTTAAAAATTCTAATAGAAAAATGATCAGAGAAGCTATTATTTTTTGTGCTTATGATATATTTGCAGTAAGAAAGTTGTGTAGGTATATATCTGTGAGAATTGCATATTATTAATGTTTTAAACATGTTAATTTTGATGAAAATAATCAGCTGAATTTTGGAGGATTTGCTAATATTAATAGCTGGTTTATGAAAAGAAATGTTGAAGAAATTAAGCATAATGCTTTTGAATGGAAAAAATGCAAAATAGATGAGTAGAGGTGAAAATATATATCAGAAACCTTTGTATGATAGTTTGAGATATATCATTTATCTTACTTTAATCTATGCAATTTCTAATTATAGATTCTATATATTGTTATTTTTTCAGCATTGCAAAGTGAATTATAACGAGGCTATAGATTAAAGAAAAAAAACTTATTCTAACTGATTTTGTAATTATACAAAAGAGAGCTAATCAAATACAAATGTCAACTAATATTAGTAGGCTTCTAAGCAAGATAGACACAGGAGAAGGTTTTTTCAATTTTTCTGCAGACCAGTAAAAAACATTTATACTAATATATGTGATAACTATTACTTAGGATCTTTTGAAAGAAGCTGATCAAAAAATTTTAGCAAATTTCATCTGTGCTTGTGATATTTTAGTATGTAGATTAATATTAAAAAATGATCTAATAAAAGTCCATCAGCATCTAGTAGAAATGGTTAAAAAAATTGAACAAATATACAGACCTAAAAAATTTTTTCCTAATTTACATCTATGTATGTATTTATGCGAATTTATATTGGATTATAGTCTCTTATATGCCTTTTAGTATTACTCAATGGAAAGAATAAACAGATTATTAGGTAATCATCTAATTAATATTATTGTTAGATACAAGCATTTACTGAATTTCCAAATACTTTAGGATCATTTAATAATAGCTATAGAAAGATCAAATTAGAGCTTATAAAAGTTATTCAAATAATGCTCTTTTGGATAAATTAATGTTTCGCATTGAATAAAACTGGTATTTTCAAGATAATCTTGAAATATTGAAACTAAAAGATTCAGTTAAAAGTCTTTTTACATATGATGAATATCCTAATGAAGAATATCAAACATTCTGTCTACTATCAATAAAAATAGAAGAAGATGTGGTTTATGATTTTGAACTATTTTCAAGTTCTTTTCTAGGTCTATTAAAATAAAATGTGACACTGTAGCAAGAACTTCAGTAGTTATTGGCTGATTTTTATTGTAACATATACAATAAAAACTTTGTTATGTTATCACAAATTCATAATATTTCAGATTCTTCTATTCTTATTAATTCAAATGTTAATCAATTTAG